AAGATTTTTATATTGAATATTTTCAACCCATGATAGAGCTTGTTTATTGCGTTGCTGCTGTCAATTTCATTGTGTCCTGTTTCTTATCTATATTGGTTTCTTGTGATTTTTTATTTTTTTTATTTTTAATATAGAATTATTTATTTGTTTTTGACAATCTTATTGACTAAATTTTGGGTTTCCCATGTATTCGTTTGTTCTCTTGTTAATTATATTCTCACACAAAAATAATTAAACTAACAAAATAAGAGAATATCACAAATCTTTTATGTAATTACAAAACTAGTACGCGGTAGCTTTGCCAAATTTGATGTATGAGCAGATTAGGAAACTACAATTCCAACAATATTTAGGAAACTAAAATCCTACTTCCAACATTACTTGTTTGGTTTCCAAATATGGAAACTCAAACGCTATATAAAATCAAATAACCCTCTTTTTCATCATCTCCATTAATCCTACAATCTCATCCAACTCTGTCTTTCTTTCTCAAGCTTTTTGTCAATGGAAACTATATCAACAGATTACAACATTCAGATGTATCCCTTACCATGGATCGACCCACTTCCTGAAACTCCAGTTATTGTCAAAATTTACATTACTCATCTTCTCAAACTACAGCTTCGTAGTCCTCAAGGCTATCTCAATACCAATTATCCTACAATCACTCTTTCAGATTTTGAAGAGTCTTTCACGATTCCTCGTCATGTTTTCTTCTCCATGCGTACCTCCGATCTCCATATTTTCCACCGACTCTCCCAGATGGGATTAGATCCTAATTTATTCAATCCCCTGAGGCAGAGCATCATCAATTCCATATTCGATCCTAGTTGGAGGCGATTTGGGAACTTACGTGGGATTCAAGTCATTGCTCGGGTCAATGTCACCACCACAACCGAGTTGTTTTCTGAGCAAGCAATGAGTTACGATCAGATGGTGTCTATGTTTGCAGTTGCAGATGAGGTGGTGATTATGGAGGATGTTGGTGGGTCTGTACAGAGGAGGGGAATGGGTGTTTCGAAAGCCGCCATTGATGGGTTGAAGAAAGTGCTAGTGTTCAATGATGAAAAGTGCACTAGGACTTGTCCTGTTTGTTTGGAGGAGTTTGGGGAGGGAACAGAGGTTACATCTATGCCATGTTGTCATCTTTTTCATCATGGTTGCATTGTGCCATGGTTGAAATCACACAATTCTTGTCCCATGTGCCGATACCAAGTTCGAGACCCATAATATATACCGTAACGATGATCATATATATATTTTTTACTATATTTTGTTTAATATATTACATTGTAAACAAAGAATAGACAGTTTTGATGGATTCTTGCAAAATTTTGTATGCTCTTTAGTTGTTGATTGCTTTGTTGTTTACATAATTTTGTTATCAGATAATGAAAACAATCTAATACTAGGAGTTTCTTCATTGATCGACCTTGGTAAAAATCTCCTTACCTTTTTCTTTTATTTTTTGCATCCTTTCAGAAATTGTATATATATATATATATAGAAAAGAAGTGTTTTTTTTTTTTTAGGTGACACATTTTAAGGGGCTTATTTTTTTTTTCTTCTAAAAGAGTCACATTATCATGCATTTCCATTTGTATATGGAGTTTTACACAAACTTAAACACAAACCCAATTTAGAAAATTCACAAGCCCAATATCAATTTTATACAGATTCTATAAGCGCCTATAAATTAGCTGAAGTTGGAATGTGATTTGGTGTGATTTTATCACTCTTTTTCTACAGTTGGTGCAACACATTTTATTAGATGATGGAAGCAACTAACGAAGAGATTTATGAATGTAAAGTTCATTTTCTTATTTTGAATCGTAGAAAAAATAAAATCAAACATCATGAAACTCGGGTTTGTTTTTGGGTGTAATCTTTCCTATATTTTATCTTTATTAACAAGCTTCTGTGATAAAACTACTCTCTTATTTTTATTAAAAAAATTTCAACACAACATGGACTGATTGTGTGGATGATTTTTATATTGAATATTTTCAACCCATGACAGAGCTTGTTTATTGTGTTGCTGCTGTCAATTTCATTGTGTCCTGTTTCTCATCTATATTGGTTTCTTGTGGTTTTTTATTTTTTTTTTAATTTTTAATATAGAATTATTTATTTGTTTTTGACAATCTTATTGACTAAATTTTGGGTTTCCCATGTATTCGTTTATTCTCTTGTTAATTTTATTCTCACACAAAAATAATTAAACTAACAAAATAAAAGAATATCACAAATTTTTTATGTAATTTGAAAACTAGTACGAAATGTTGGGGGTATATTTCCTTATTGGAGTTTGAGACCCAATTGGTTTTGAAAAAAGAATTTTAATTTGGTTTGGTTTAGGTATAATATATTTTAATATATTATATCTAATTTTTTGGAGATCTAATTCAATTTAGATACAACTAGAGTTTTGATAAAAATCTAGATTCACAATATATATATTGATATTGTTTAGTTCTTCCGTAGAGGAGTAGTGGTTGATAAGAGAGCAATTTGTCATCACGCAAAACAAGGGTGAATTTGCTTTGTGGAGCAGTAGCTAATTGATTTGTGGTACACAGTGAGGCTGCTAGAGAATTGTTGATGATCAATTCGGTGGTATTTTGGTAAAACTGATTTGGTTCGTTATTTTGGGTCATCTTCAATTCTGTTTCGGAAGCTTTTTGTTTATCTATTTGGTGAGGTCTTTCCTCTTGATTATTTGTGATTATTTGGAATTCACCTAAGGGTGGTTTGTGAGACCATTCGTGTCTCGTTTGTAATCGTTTGGAAACTTATTTGGTTGATAGTGGAATCCGATTTCGATCCCGTGGACGTACCTCACATTGAGGGAACCACGTAAAAATTCTTGTGTTGCTTTTGATTTAATTTTTCCGCATTAGTTTTTATTCTCATTGATTGATTTACTTGTGGGGAATCAAATATTTTTTTTAACATCTGGTATCAGAGCTTACGGTTTATTTGGATTTATTTATTTGTGTAAATTAATGGAGGGGAATGTGGGTCATATGTCTAGCTTCGATGGAAGCAATTGGGTAACTTGGAAAACTAAAATGGAGGACCTATTATTTTGTAAAGATTTGTATGGGCCTATTGAGGGTGATAGTGGCAAACCCGAAGGTATGAAAGATGATGAGTGGAAGAGGCTTAATCGAAAAGCCATTGGTGTTATTTGTCAATGGATTGATGACAGTGTGTTTTATTATGTTGCTACTGAAACTTCAGCACATGATTTATGAAAAAAATTAGAAAGCCTTTATGATAGGAAATCAGCCACAAATAAAGCTTTTTTGTTTCGTAAATTGGTTAATTTAAAATATAAAGAGGGCAGCCCTATTCCGGAACATCTGAATGAAATAAAGAGTATTGTTAACCAACTTGCTTCTATGAAAATTATTTTTGATGATGAGTTGCAGGCTTTGATGCTACTTAGTTCTTTGCCCAAAAGTTGGGAGACTTTGGTTGTGACAGTTAATAATTCGGCACCCGATGGAGTTGTCAAAATGGACCAAGTCACTAGTAGCTTGTTGAATGAAGAAACTAGAAGAAAATCAGTGGGTTCCTCTCATTCGGAAGCATTCGTTGTGAGAGGCCGAAGCAAAACAAGGGGGAGGAGTAAGACTCCTCATGGTCGTGATAAAAGCCGTGACAAATCAAAAGATGGTTCTTTTTCAAAAAAAGACATTGAGTGCTATTATTGCCATGAGAAAGAGCACATGAAGCGAGAATGCCGAAAGCTCAAGAACAAGGAGAAAAGGCGTGACAAAAGTGTGGATAAGAAGCAAGAAGACACAACAGCAGTTACTACCGATGATCTCATGGTCGTTTATGAAGATGATTGTATAAATTTTGTGGGCCAAGAGAGCAATTTGGTGATTGATTCTGGTGTTTCTTTTCATGTGACTTCTCGAGTTGATTTCTTTACTACCTACACCAAAGGAGATTATAGTTCTGTTCGAATGGGTAATGAAGGTTTGTCCAAGATTATTGGCATGGGTGATGTTTGCTTGGAAACAAATTTGGGCTGCAAGTTGTTGCTTAAAGATGTGAGGCATGTTTCCAACATTTGCCTCAATTTGATCTCTATTGGGAAGCTAGATGATGAAGGCTTCAACAACAAATTTGGTGATGGAATATGAAAGCTCACAAAGGGTTCTTTGGTGGTGGCTAAGTGCAAGAAGAGTCATACACTTTATTCGATGTAAGGAAAAATTTGTAAATGTGTTGTCAATGCATTTGAAGATGATACTTCTACCGAATTGTGGCACAAGCGGCTTGGCCATATGAGTGAAAATGGGCTGCAAGTTTTGTTCAAGAAAGAGCTTCTACCCGTTTGAAAGGTACACATCTTAAAACTTGTGTTCATTGTTTGGCGGGTAAATAACATAGAGTTTCTTTTCAAAAAAATGTTACTTCTAGAAAAGAAAATATTTTGGAGTTGATTCATTCGGATGTTTGTGGTCCTTTAAAAGTTAGAACACATGGTGGTGCACTTTATTTTGTTACTTTCATTGATGATTATTCAAGGAAAGTTTGGGCTTTTCTACTAAAAACTAAAGATCAAGCTCTAAAAGTATTTAAGTTTTTTCAAGCCATGGTTGAAAGAGAAACAGGGCAGAAATTAAAGTGCATCCAATCAGACAATGGTGGTGAATACATTGGGCCATTTGATGAGTATTGTCGTAGCCAAGGTATTCGGCACCAAAAGACAATTAAGAAGACTCCTCAACAAAATGGCGTTGCCGAGAGGATGAACCGCACCATTGTGGAAAGAACAAGGTGTTTGCTTTCACAAGCTAAA